CGTAATCGTTCTGGATATACTTTTTGATGGGTCCAAACAGCTATAGTCTGGTAGCACTTCAAACTTGTCTACACCAAATCCAATCCTATTCAACTCTCTGTGTAGACGAGTCGTGTTGAATTTTGCTAGCTTTTTTCTCACCCTACATTCTACAAATTCGAATTCATTAAGTGAAGATGGAGCAATCTGCACAAATCCAAAAGTATCGAACAACTTAGTCAACAGCTTCAAGCCGAGTTTAATCATCCACTTGTTTTTGCTCAATCTCCTGTATTTCACATTTAAATAAGAAATTATAACTATGAAGGAAGAGATAATCATGAGTCTTTCTCTGTTTCCCTTTTTCTATAGTCAGATCTTTGTTGCCCTAAGAAAATAATCAATGTGCTCCCATAAACAGACTGCCAAGGATGGTTCTTGAAGTTTCAAAGAAGATGCTCACAGAACCTAGCAGGAACCTTGTGGCTGCTCTTGTGGAACAAGAAGCTGGGTGGTTATTACTATCATCACTATTAAGTTCTATGCTTAAAGAGGTAAACATCTGTTGTTCCTGCATCTTCATATGGTGTAAACATTACCTGTTTCTTATTATTTATTTGGTTTTATGTAGGAACTTGAAGATCAGGTTTTTGATATTCTTGGATTGTGGGCTGATGTTTTTACTGGAAACCCAGAACATGTAATTAAGCAGTGCAAGGACTTAATATCTACCATATGGTAAGACAATATACATGGTTAGGCTATATGGTATTGTCTTCATGGCCAATACTTCATGGTAATAATTAGCAGTAGTTTTCTGTTAGTTTTGGTCGTAAACTCATCAGAGAAGCATTAGTAAAAATTCTGCCAGCCAATTGATGATATTTTTATTCTCCTGTTGAGCCAAATTTAGCTGCTTGGTATCTTTATTTGGCAGTTTCTATTGGGTAGAAACTGAAAGAATAACTAAACTATAATAATAAAAAAAGACTAGGATCTACCTGCAGAGGTGACTTTTTTTGCTGGGTTGTGGGTTTTTGGGTTTGAGGAAAATGAACCTCTGTGAGGATTAATGCAGGGTACCTCATTGTCTGTCTTGCAAGGAGATTGCAAACTGGTTCTATATTGACTGTTATTTTTCTTTTTTGTTTTTTTTTTTGTTTAGGAGTATCTCTTGTCCTTTATCAATATATTTTTGTCTTTTCTCCCTAATAATATTCTTTTTTCATAAAAAAGAAATAATGAACCTTTAGATGGAGAGTGGTACTCTCTGTTAAATAAATGAAGACCTTTTCTCAACCTCTTATTTAATGTCAAATATTTTGCTTGTAAATGAATGTTAGTGTTTGAACCAGCTTTTACATATCTTGTTAGTTGTCCACTTGCTGCATTATTGGTATAAGAAAAAACACTGAAACAAAGGTTACTGTAATAGCTGTTGTTTATCATGGTGTATTTGAAAGAGATTCCCCCTTTAGTTCCTAGTCTAGTGCTTTGTCATAGTAGAACTCAATTGAGTATCTGGTAGTTACCTGTTTTCATATTTAATTTCTGCGTCAACAAACAGTATTTATTGTTGACAAAGAGAAATTTTCACTTCTTGGCATAAAATAGAGTTTTTTCCTCATTTTCTCCCTCTGTTGTAGTGTGTGGTCTGCTGCAGTTCATGCACTTACAGAATTTGTACGGCGTTTTGTCTCTTCCGACGTTGTGAACAATGGCATCTTACTGCAACCAGTTATTGTATACCTAAATAGGTATCATATATTGTAGATTCCTTTTCAAGAACAACTCTTTCTTTCTGTTGAATTGATTTTCTTTCATGTTTTCTATTTGAGTTTTGATCTAGTGTTTCGTATATAAACATATTCATTTATATGGAAAAAGTTATTAACATATAGCAAAAAGCAGGGCTTTATCTTATGTATCAGTTATAGCAGCCAAACAACCACCAAATATCAAGTCTGCAGTGGACATATTCATCATCAGAATATTAATTGCTTATCAATCACTCCCAGATCCTATGGCATACAAGAGTGACCATCCTCAGATTATTCAATTATGCACAACACCATACAGGTATGATATGTTGCCATGCTGCCGTCTTGCCAAGGTTTTTCTTTATTGCCACTCTGCTATATGAACAGTTTTACTTGGTGTCTATATATATAAAATTCATGGATTAATTTGGATTTTTCTTCCTGCTGCTAAAATGGAAGGGATGCCTCTGGATGTGAGGAGAGCTCCTGTTTAAGGTTGCTATTGGACAAAAGGGATGTGTGGTTAGGCCCTTGGACTCCTGGAAGGTGTCTAAACTTTCTATTTCTGGCCTTTTCTTTATTATTAAATGTAACAGTAATTCTTTGGTCATCTTTTTATGGTAATTTTGAAAGTTTTTGACAATTCTATTTTTTGTGCTTTGAGAATGCTGTGATACCATTCTCCTTCTCCTAAATGAAACAAAACTTAGAGTTCTTTGTCGTGTTTTCTGTCCTCACACAGGGACTGGTTTGAAGATGAACTTAGAGCTTTTCAGGGTGGTAAAGATGGTCTCATGCCTTGTGTTTGGGAGAATGAGCTTTCTAGTTTTCCTTTGGTAAGACTGTTTCCCTACATGGTTTTTTTCCCCCTCTCTCCCGTGTAATTAGCGATTGACCAGTGGAATCAACCCAGAATACTGTTGGCCTCCTTCTTCTATAATTTTTTTTCACTTTGTTGCCTCCTCATCTGTTAGGATTTTTGTTAGTAAAATCAGAGTCTTTTTGAATGTAAGACAGCATAATAAATTTTACCTGTGTTAGATAAAAATACAAATAATTACCAGTACTTGGACTGTGCGTGCCTGAGCTTTTCAGTTAGAGTCAATGCTAAGAACTTGTTTTAAAATCATTATGTACAAGGATAAACTTGTTCTTCCTTGGTGTGTATATTTCATTTATGCTTCTAGAGGGGGTATCTAAAAAATTTTATGCATCTAAATCAACTAGAAGGCTGGTGACAGACAAGATACCATGTTTCTTATTAATTGTGGATGCTTCGGTTTATTAATGGTTGTACCCTTCATTCTATACTCAATGGTAAGCATGTAACTCCTTTTCATTCTAACCCTTCGTCCTCATCATGGCAAGCTAGGATAGCAGGTTAAAGTATTGATCTATCTAATTAACCTCCTTTTACCCAACACTTGCACATGAGTGACGATATGCATCTACTTTCACTTCATATGGTAGTTTAAATTTTTTTTTTTGAAGTTTTCTGTTTCTTCTTTGCCAAAAACAAAATATTGGTTGTCATCATGCTAATTTTATATGATTTTCACTTTTGACGTGATCTCCTTTTGATCATCAAGCCGGAGACAGTAAACAAGACATTGGTGAATCAGATGCTCCTTTGCTTTGGTGTTATGTTCGCTTCCCAAGTATGTGAGCATTCAGTATGGTTTAGCCTTTGCTCATTGTAATGTTGTTGAAGCTGTGATATCCCAATGTTTCTAACAAGATTGGTTATGTTAAATCACAGGATAATGGTGAAATGCTCTCACTTCTTGGAGTTATTGAGCACTGTCTTAAAGCTGGGAAAAAGCAACTGTGGCATCCAGCAAGTATGACTAACATCTGTGTTGGGTTACTAGCTGGATTGAAGGTAGTTTCTGAATTTATTTTATAAGCTTAATGATGAAGCATAGTGGATTAGGTGTTAGATAGGAAAGTTAAAGAAAAGATAAATCAAATCTACAAATTTTTTTTGAGATAAAAAGATGAGTATTAAGTATATGGCACCAGGGGGTGGCCATCCATGTACAAAAGTAATCAATTATTTTGTTCAAATCTACAATTACAAGGACCAGCAACGACCATAATTTTTTAGGAACTTATTTCAATCAGAATAATAAATTATTTTGTTCGCAAGCAGTCTATTTGATTTTCTTTTTGAAATATAAGAGAAGTAATATTATTCACAAATGTATCAAGAGAGTACCGTACATGTACAAAGCATAGTTACAAGTCAATTAAGTAGTTCATGACCCATCCAAAATTATCTCAATTTTTGATGTGATGACGTAACAAATTAGAACCAAAAGTATAGATCCATCTATTTTTAATGTTTGTAATGTTAGTCTCAATGCCCTCAAAAATTCTCGCATTTCTTTCCTTCCACACAACCTAAAAAATAGTTAGCGGAATAAGGAATAAATAGTTTTTCTTCTTACAATAACCTCTCCAAGCCCACAACTCTTTACTCACATTTTCAGCCATTACCCAACTTAAGCCCAGCAAACCCAAGACAGAATTTCAGATGCTGTAGGTTGTCGGGTACCACAAAAGGAGATGGTTGCATGTCTCCTCTACCGATTTGCAAAGTAGCATCTGTTAACCATGGTATTACCTCTTCTTTTCAGCATATCAGTAGTTAAAATATATTTCTTAGTGGCTTCCCACGTAAAAAAAAGCCATCCCAGGAGGGGCCTCAGTTTTCCAAATCTGTTTAAAGGGTGCTGAAATGATATTATTTCTATCATTTGTGCATAGAAAATTGTACATTGATTTCACAGAAAAACCATTTTTCTCATCAGGCTTCCAAACTCTTTTGTCCCTTGTTTCCTTCACCTTCATGCTGCCCAAAACCAAAAGCAGGTTGCAATAGCCATTGATTTCCCAATCCTGCAAGTTTCTTGTAACATTCATATTCCATGCCTTCCCTTCACCCACATTTTCATAATGTCCTTCATCCTCGCCTCCTTATCGCTAGCAATATCAAAAATTCTGGTAAAACATTCTTTAAGTTTAAAACTTCCCATCCATTCATCCTCCCAAAACCTAATATGCTCACAATTACCAAGCTGCCACCCCACACTGCCCTTGAATACATGGCTGTCATCCCTAATTTTCTTCCAAAAACTCCTCCCATGCGGTTTGAATCTACCCTTCCGAACCCTCTCTTTTCCCAATCTCCCCACCTCGCTTGCACAACCTTCCTCCACAGCGTCTCCTCCTCCTCTAGATATCTCCATAACCACTTCCCATGAAGAGCATCATTGAGTGCTCTAATGGACCTTAAACCAAGACCCCCTCCCTCATCGGTTTCTTCCCCTCCTCCCAACTGATTAAATGATATTTTCTATTCCTCTCCACATCACCCCAAAGAAATCTGCATTGAATGTTTTCAAGCTTTTTTGCAATGCTAGGCGGAATGGTTAAAATAGAGAGGTAATATATTAGTAAATTTGCCAACGTACTTTTTAATCAAGGTAAGTCTACCCCTTTTAGAGAGAAAATTCCTCTTCCACCTTGCTAACCTTTTTTTGCAACACTCCACAATAGGCTCCCAAGTTTTCCTATCTTTAAATTTTGCCCCAAGAGGAACACCAAGATATTTAATAGGAAGTTTCGTTTCGTTGTCTTACAACCCAATGCCAAAGCCAATCTCTCATCAACCCCCCTATCATCGATTATAACCATTTCCGTCTTTCTCATATTTATTTTGAGACCGGACACCATTTGAAAACAAAGAAGAATGCATCTCAAGTGAAGTATAACATTGATAGTAGGTTCACAAAAAATAAGGGAATCATTCGCAAAAAATAAGTGAGAGATCTTGACACTTTCCTCTACCCCTTCCCACAGCCACACCGTTCAATAATTTCAATTCCCCTGCTTTCTCCATGAGTCTACTAAAAGCCTCCATAATAGTGAGAAAAAGTAATAGCGACAACGGATCCTCTTGGTGTAGCCCTCTAGATGCTTTGAAGAAATTTGAAGGGCCCCCATTAATCGTGACCGCAAATGAAGTAGTGGAAGTACATTTCATGACCCAAGTCTGCCATTTGCACCCAAAACCCATTCTTTTAAGCATGTAATCCACAAAATCCCAGCAAACATGATCATAGGCCTTTTCCATGTCTTTACACAAAATGTCCTCTTTTTTCTGCCCCACCAATTCATCCACCAATTCACTAGCAATCATCACAGCATTAAGGATTTGTCTACCTCCCCACAAACGCATTTTGGTTCTCGCTAATCACCTCACCCAACACCTTAGAGAGTCTCTTTGTTAAAACTTTTGAAATCAATTTGTAGATACTCCCCACCAAGCTAATTGGTCTAAATTCTTTAATATCTTTCGCACCCACCACCTTTGGAATAAGAATTAAGAAAGTCGAATTTATAGAGTTGACAAAAGACCCTGCCCTATGAAAAATCATTAAAAACAACACACTTTATCACATCCCAAAAGACTTGGTAAAATTTCATATTGAAACCATCCGGGACGGGTGCCTCATCCCCATTACAATCATCAAGACACTCTTTTATTTCGTCTTCACTGAAAGACTCTTCTAACCCATCTCTACTTTTATCACACAACATCTTAAATTGCAGATTGTCAAGATTGAGTCTACTCTGCTTATCTTCCGTATGTGGTTGCTGAAAAAACAGACTTGCCATCTTCCTCATATCTTCATTTCCTCTAAACACCTCCCCATTACAGCATAGTTCTTCCACATAATTATTATTTGTACGAGAATTTGCCATGCAGTGTAAGTAGCTAGTGTTCCTATCCCCCTCTTTAAGCCATCTCTCCCTAGTCTTTTGTCTCCACGAGATTGCCTCCAAATGCATAACCTCAACAATTTCCTTCCTCAAAACCTCCCTCCTCACCCTCCCATGCTCACCCAAAGTACCCCCATCTCCATTTTGTCACAATCAGCCAACTCAATTAGATTATCATTCAAGATCTTTTCAAGCCTACACTCCTCCACCCTTGCCCACCTCTTAATTTCATTTTTTAGATCCTTCAATATAGAAGCAAACACAAAGCTACTCGTGCCCACCGCCACTGTTTCCTACCAAAAGCTTTTCACCAGTTCCCTAAAATTCTCAACTCTTAACCACTTGTTATCCAGTTTGAATGGAGTAGGCTCCTAAATAATGCCTTCAGGGACAAGGAAAATCGGGAAATGATCAGAAATTGACCGACCAAGTAGTTTTTGACGCAAATCTGTAAGCTGCAATAACAAACTGTTAGAGATTAAAAATCAGTCAATTCTTGACCATGAAAGGTTCGCCCTCCCCTTAGACCAAGTCCACCTCCCACCCCCAAGTGGAAGATCCACAAGCTCTAATCTATCCACCATCTCCCTGAACTCCTCAATCTCCCCCAAGGTTGTGCCCATATCCGACCTTTCACTCATATGTAACACCATATTAAAGTTCCCCCCCAATCACCCATCTTCCACCCCATGTTATTTTACAACTCAGCAACTCATCCCTCTCCTCTCTATTCCCTCTACAATAAATGCCAGAAAATACCCAACTTTCACCATCCCTTCTATTTTTTAACACACAAGACAGCAACACCCTTCCCCTCTCCACCCCTCCGCATAGAAATTTCCCATTATCCCACATAAACAGAATACCGCCAACAGCTCCCCTCGCTGACACATCCTCTCACTCAACATTTTTGGCCCTCCATAAGGAATTAATCAACTTTTTGTTAATCTCCTCCATTTTAGTCTCTTGAAAACAGACCAATTCAGGTTTCCCCCGCTTCAGGCAACCTTTAATAACCCCTCTCTTTCTATCCTTATTTATCCCCCTCACGTTCCAAGAAATGGTTTTTCCAATCATAAATTCAGTTCGTCAGAAAACTCCCCTTCCCCTCTCTTCCTGCTTTTTTTTCCTTCAAAATTCAAAGACCATTCCAACCTCTTTATTCTATACTGCCTCCCTCTCCCTTTTTAATGCCACTCCTTTTTCCTTTTTTCTTTTCTTTTTCAACTTCCACAAATCTGATTTCAAGTTCAGTCAGTAAACTCAACACTCTGTGTTCCAACCCATCAAAATCCATCCCAAACATCTTACTCACCTTGACAAAGTTCCGCCGAACCCAGTCCGAGTAATGTTCTTCAAAGTCTCCTTCTCCCATGACCAACAATCCCTCATTCTGGTTGTCAATCTGGATGGGGGTCACCACCAGAGCCTCACCGTCATTATCCGCCATTAACCCAACCTCCATTAATGCAAGGTCGATTCCCACATCATATGTCAGAAAACTCCCCTTCCCCTCTCTTCCTGCTTTTTTTTCCTTCAAAATTCAAATACCATTCCAACCTCTTTAATTCTATACTGCCTCCCTCTCCCTTTTTAATGCCACTCCTTTTTTCCTTTTTTCTTTTCCTTTTCAACTTCCACAAATCTGATTTCAAGTTCAGTCAGTAAACTCAACATTCTGTGTTCCAACCCATCAAAATCCATCCCAAACATCTTACTCACCTTGACAAAGTTCCGCCGAACCCAGTCCGAGTAGTGTTCTGCCAAGTCTCCTTCTCCCATGGCCAACAATCCCTCATTCTGGTTGTCAATCTGGATGGGGGTCACCACCAGAGCCTCACCGTCATTGTCTGCCATTAACCCAACCTCCATTAATGCAAGGTCGATTCCCACAGCCTACGCACCCAACGATGCAGCGTAACCTTCGACACCCGTACTCCTTGTACATCACCTCCAAACCCGTTGGTCCCCACAGAAACCTTAGACACTACGGATCCCTCAATCCTGCACAGAACAACCTTCTGTTCATCCTCCGTTTTCCTTCGCTTCTGAATCGCAGTCCAGCTCCTCCTCTTCTGTTACAGTGGACTACGTCTCTTTTTCCTTCAAACACTCTTCTGTCGAGCAACAAGAATATTTTGTTGCAGCACCCTCAATGACAATTATACCCTTAGCAAATCCGAGTTTTATTTTTTTGGGCTGCCAGATTTTCTTCACTCTTCTCTTACCCATCCTCTTGCTAGGCCCAAGGTTATCAACCCATTTTCATTTCACAGCCCAAGAGAATTTCCTTTTTGAAACCTCAGCTTGCCCAACACGGAGTCTATCAATTTTACCTTCCCGCTCACCCACACGCACGTGACTTGTACTATCCCTACTTTTAAAATTTGAAATGCCCTGACCCATTTCATTCTAGCCCAAACGAGTCATCCGCCCTACCTGTCACGAATTTGCACCAGGAGTTCTCACCATTTCAGCAAAAAATTTAATCTTCATTCCCATTCGAAGCTCCCACTCAATGCAACAATCAGGACACTTGAAGAAACCAGCCACTGGGACGGGCACCATAGTTGGTTCATTCACCAATAACCATCTTTTTCCTTTCAACCACTCCGACATAATCAACTCCAAATCGGCCACATCATGAATAGCTTCCATTACCTACCACAAACCCGCAGCTTTTTCCCCTTCCAGAATAAACAATCTATTAGTTTTCCCATTTGGGCCTTTTTTACCTTCTGATAGCACCAGGAATTTTCCACGATTATTACTATTCAATGCCATCCATAACGACCTCCAACTACTCCTTCGATATCTGCTCCACGCCCCTTCAGATTTTTTCCATTTGAACTCCCTGAAACACTTGAGAAGGCAAGACACATCTCCCATCTGGTAGAAAATAGATTTACGATAGCCCCTTCCATTTTCATAAATACGAACCCCCTTCATTTCCTCCACCACGTTGAATGATTTCTGTTTTATGACAAGAAATTTATGTTGACCCACTGGCATGGTCAGCCAGGGGTCTGTCGTCCTGGGACGACCTTTTGGGTATGGGAGGCAAAAACAAACGCACACCCACACAGAGGAAAGAGAACAAGCAGTCTATTTGATAATAATGAACTACCTATGTATTTATAGGGTGTCTCTGTAGCCTGTTATAATTAGACTCCTTAAATAGAAAACCAGTAACAAAATAAAAGTACTTACCAAATAAGAACTAAAATGTTACTAAAGTACAAAAGACTTGCTAAAATGTAGTAGTTATGATGATTATGGTAGTAGTTCTATGTTAATACAAAAAATGCTGGATGGTCCCACATCATTTAAAGAATTTGAAAGTAAGGGGTTTAACTTTGTTTTTCTTCTTTATTATAGGCTTTGCTTGCTCTACGTCGTCAACCATTAGGGATAGAGTTACTAAATTCAGCACAAGCTATTTTTCAGGTATGAAATCTTAGGGTAAATAACACGTGTTAATACATTATGAACCAATCTCCTTAATATTATGCCATGTTGCTTATGTTTTTGGTGCAAATTTTTGTTTTAATTTTCTAGGGTATTCTGGCAGAGGGAGACATTTGTGCATCACAACGTAGGGCATCATCAGAGGGTCTTGGTCTTTTAGCTCGCCTTGGAAGTGATATTTTTACGGCTCGAATGGTTAGTTCCGATTATAATTTACATGCAATCATTTTGAGCTGGCAAGAGCTTACTTAGGTGGACTGAAGATGTTTGCTAATGTTGTCACTTTTCCTTCACAGAAAAATTGGACATTGATCTGTTTTCTTAGCATGCAATATAGGCCCCATGAAGAAAAAAACTTTTTAGCTTTATTACTCACTCTCTCAAGGTGATGTACAGAGTAGATTGTTGCTCGCTGATCTGAATGGAATAACAGATTCAAGCTATGCTGGATCAATCACTTTTGCCCTTGGCTGCATCCACCGAAGGTAAAATGTTAAGTTTCACTTTCAGAAAAAAATTAAGCCTCTGTCATATTAACTTGGGTTTGATCGTTGTTATGGTTATTTATTCTTTGTATCAAATGTTCCTTAAACTGATGGGAGAGCCATCCATATACAAAAAATTTCTGGAATTACAAATAAGACAAGCTATCAATCTGTTTCTGTAAGTCTGTTGACAAAGAAAGAAAATAGCTCTTCAACAAAAAAGAGAAAGGTCTAAAACTTTTTTAGTGAGTATATTTATCTGTTAATGTTAAGAAAAATATCAATATGTTTCTGCAAATCCATTGACAAAGAAAGAGAATACTTTTCAATAAAGAAGACAAAGGTGTAGAAATTTTTTAATGAGTATATTTATTTATTAATGTTATATTTCATTTGTTAATTTAACATTTTTAAAGTAAAAATATAACAAAAGAGTTACCAGTATATGTTCTGAC